GAAATGGCTTATCCTCCATATGAAATTTTAAGGATGTGAATGGTTATAAGTTGAAAGAATGACATTCAACTAAGAGCAAATGGCTATCAATACAAAAATGAAGGTACCTTTGACAGCTACAAAAAAAACCCTGAGTGTCATCTACAGCAGCTCAGGTGTTTGTTTTTAAAAAATTTTTATATTAAGACTACCTGTAATCAACAAAAAATTTTGTTTATTGATATTAAGTCTCCCATTTAAAATCATGAGCAGGCTGGGTGTGGTGGTTCACACCTGTAATACCAGCACTTTGGGAAGCCAGGGGAGGAGAATTGCTTGCGACTAGGAGTTCCAGACCAGCCTGGGCAACATACTGAGACCTCATTTCAACAAAAAATCAAAAAATAAGCCAGACATGGCAGCAAGCCTACTTGGGAGGCTGAAGCAGAAAGATCACCTGAGCCCAGGAGGTCAAGGCTGTGGTGGGCTGTGATCATGCCACTGTACTCCAGCCTAGGCAACAGAGTGAGACTCTGACTCAATTGGGATGATTTTGACTACTTGACAAAACAATAAATTCTTTAATTTTCTGTCACAACTGACTTTAAGTCAAATGTTGGCTGTCACCACTTTTATTCCAATGAGCAAAAGTAATACATATGTCATTTTAAATGAATGAATGCAAAAAACTAAGACCTTGAAGTATAGCTATCACCCTTCATAGAAAAGAAATATGGGTATGCATCTCTATTAAAATGTGTGTAATACCCTTTGAACACAATCCCATTGGGGGAATTATTAAAGAAATACTTTAGTGGAAGGACAAACATAAAGATAGACATGGAATGAAGGTGTTTATTGCCAAGCTGTCTAGAATTTTCATGAACATGTTTTTAAACTTAAAGTGGGTACAGGATCAGATAAGAATGAGTATACTGATGAAAACAGAGCAGAAGATTTGAAACTGTAATTTTTCAAACTTTCAGGGATAGATGTCTGTTGTTTATAAAACACACACACACACACACACACACACACACACACACACACACACGCCCAGATATCCTGTGGTAGCCTCCATTGATCTTCACCTCTTAGTATTATAGATCAAGAAGTTTAGACTTTGAACCTGGTATATACCCTTGTGTAGACCTCTCCCATGGTGAATCAAGCAGGCTGGTTCCTGGGACCAATAGAATACCGTGGTAGGGATGGTGTGCAACTTTCAAGGCTAGGTCATAAAACCCAACTTCTGCCTTTGTTTCTTTGAGGCCTTGCTCTGGGGAAGACCATCTGCCATGTTGTAAGGGTACTCAAGCAGCCCCGTGGAAAGGCTCACTGTGGAAAGGAGAGGAAATTGCTGGCCAAATGAATAAGCCACCTTAAAACAGATCCTGCAACCTTAATTAAGTCTTCAGATAACAGTAACCTCAGCCAGCATTCAACTACAACCACATGAGCGACCAAGAACCAGAATATCCCAACTGAGTCACTCCCAAATTCCTGACCTGCAGAAACTAAGAAATAATGAGTAATTGAGATGTTTGATGCTTTTCGGCTTTAAAATGATTTGTTATGCAGCAACAGATAAGTAATACATACCGTGTATGATTGTAAAGAAATAGTATGTAGTTATCAAAAATAAGATGCTGTTTACAACTTTCCTTCTCCATGCATTCATTCTGTCAGTAAGAAAGTACTTTAAACATTTCTTGAATCACAACGTATAACCATTTCTACAGCCACTGCCAATTCCAAGTCATCATTCCAGCTTTTCTTATCTGGAGTAAAACAGTCTTTAAGTTAGTCTCTTTATTTTTATTCTTGCTTCCCTAGAGTCTTTTCTCTACACAACAGCCAGAGTATAGATAATATCAAAAACATAAGTGCGATCATATCACCTTCCCCTACTTCATTTCTTAAAAAGTTTGTAATTATACAGGAAATAAAATCTAAACTCCCTGACCTACAAGCCCACGTATCACCTGGCCTTTGCCTGTGTTCCTCGGCCCTATCTCCTACTCTCTGTCTCATTTATAACACTTGGGAATGAACTTAGTACATTTTTCTGGGTTCAAAGTCACCAAGCTTTTATATTTGCTGTTTCTTCCACCTGGACCCCTTGTACCCCAGATGGTTACATGTATGGCTCTGAACAAATGTCACCTGCTTATTAACCTGATTACTTCTTCACTGCCTTTTCACATACACACCACTGTTAAGTCCCTGAAAGCAAGGACTTTGCTGCTTTATTCCTTATATCTTGAACAGTGTCTGGCACATAGTGTCTGATTAATTTTGTGAACTGAATGGATGATCTATATCAAAATCTTCATCAATCAAAGCAAGAACTAAAAAATACACGCCTATGAAAATAACTGAGTTTGAATGAAGGAAATGTGATTTTTTTTTCTTTTTATATTTGTTAGCATTGTTATATTTTAAAACCCTCTGTATACAAATAATCATCTATGTTGAAGTAGAATAAAAAAGCTGGTAAAAACTACTAGTAGTTATTTTCTGGGGCTGCTGATGATTTTTTGTTCCCTGGTTGTATTACCTTTTGACTTTCTGGTTCTTTTTTAAGATTCTTCACTGGGAATTTTCTAGCAGATCTTAAACTGAAAATAGCCCCTGCTGCCTACTTGTATAATAATTCGCTGCTTTCCATTCTCCTGGACCTTTTCCTAAGAGAAAAGCATCCTGAATTCTCCACAGGGAGCCCCTTCCAAGTGATTCATGGCTGAATTCTGAGTTCTGACATCTCACATTCTGTCCCCAAGAGGAAAAGAAGATATTCTCTCCTGTGCATGTGGAAAAGTTCCCACACCTACTAAACCTTTGGTATTCCAGAGACATTTATTAATATGCCCACGAAATCCAAGGCTCTTTGTTGGGTGTTGCAGAAGGAAACAAAGATATTTATTTCTTCAGTCAATCTTTATCACCCTTCCCTCCAAAGTGATTTGAAATAGCTTGCAGTAAGAAGACATACAAGAAGAAGAAAGAGGAAGACAAGAACAAGGAGGAGGAAACGAAGAAGAAAAAATAATTAAGGACCAGTAAAATGTCAGCAGAATGAGAAAGTTGATGATCCTTGCAGATGAATTTCAAGGATCTCTGAATTTCAAATTGATCTCTGTTTATGAGACCTGATTCCTGCCTTCCAAATGCTTATAATGAAACAGAAGGATTGCGCTATGGATACAAATAATCAAAGAGATGAAAGAAAAGCTCAAGCATCCTAAGGGACTACAATAGAACATTGTGTGTATGTGGTCCTTGAATGGTGGACTGTCTTGGAAGTGCTCTGATTACTGTGTGAAAACTCCAGAGTGTTCTTTCACAGGCATGTTCTATGACTCTGATGTCACCTGCGTGCCGCACAAGCTGAACTGCCAAGAAGAAGAAGCGAGGTGGACAGGTTAAATGCAGGAGCTACAGTGCTGGACTGTGAGGTTTGAATCCCAGCCCTGCCACAAGCCAGCCATGTGGCCTTGGTTGAGTCACTGAGCCTTAATTCCTCACCTGTAAAATAAAGATCATAATCATAACATCATTGTAAGTAAAAAATGATGAGCTGATACAGAGAATGTAGTTAGCACAGCACCCAGGACATAGCAACCTCTTCCACAGCCTTGGAATCTCCTTGTGGGGGGAAAAGTGACCAAGTTGATCGCTTACTAATTTATGGCTAGCAATTACACTTTACACTTAAGTTTAGCAATTCCCTTTAAGTGATGGATTTCAGGGAGGGCATGAGAGTCATATTTTATTTCCCCTTCAACCATTTTAGCCTAAACTTCTAAAATAAAGCAGTGAGGATTTTTGGGGGGAAATTTTGAATCACGAATCTAGAAAGGATCTGAGGCACACGCTGCTGAACCCTTAGGTAGACTGACAAATTGAGGCCAGGTGGGGATGGGAGGAACGACTAGAGTTTTATAACAGCAACACTAGAATTCAGGATAGACACATTTGATGCTCGGTTCTCTGCTCTTTCCACAGCAAGATGTAGACTAGAATGGGACGGATGATTGAATACTCAACTTTCTAGTCATCCTGAAGGCATTTTATTCTATGGAGACATTATTCATTCAGTAAATACGCATTATGCTTCTCCTGTGGAAGAAACTGTGCTAGATACTGGCAATAAATTAGTGGGTGAGAGAGCTCTGATTTCCATGCTTCTGAAGACCCCACTGTAGTGGAAGGCAGGCATTTATCAAATGATCATGACCACACAAATAAATGCCAATGGCCAGTATGAAACAGTCTGCAAAGTCTTATGAGCATATTTAATAGAATTTGACCTACCAGAAAAAAGTCGAGGGAGACTTCCCTTCGGGAATGATACTGAAGCCTAAACCCAAGAGTAAATATGCACTGGCTGGACCAGGTCGAGGAAAGAAGAGAAAACATGATACTCCAAACAGAGGAATTAGCAAAATCCCTATGGAAGATGGTGGAACAGAAGGCCAGAGCAGTTGGAGCACTAGAAGTAGAGGGTAGGAGTTACACAGAGAATGAGTTGGGAGAAGGAGGCAGGGGTCAAGTCTGCACAGGCCTTGAAGGTCACACACAGATTTTTGCTTTCATAGTAAAAGAAATCGGAAGCCACTGGAGGGTCTTAATCAGGGGGATGCCATGATCAAAATTTGCTTTGCAAAAGATTAACCTATTGTTGTGCGCTGTCTAAAGGAGGCCAAAAGTAGACACTAGGAGATACCTTAGAGTGATGGCAGTGTACATGAGGAAATATGAATGGACTCAAGACATGTAGGCAGGAATGTCACTAGGCCTTGGTGATATATCAGGCTAGAGGGTTGAGGAGAAGTGATGCGAGGTAGAATGCCATTCAAGGTCTGCTTTACAGAATCAGTTGACTGGTGAGTGAGGTCATTGACTAGGAGAGGGAACACTAGTAAAGGACTGGAGTTTCCCGGGGAGCAGACAGTAAAGAGTACTGACCAGTACCAAATTGGGGGAATTTTTTTTTTAAAAACTGCAAACTCATTTCATTTAGTTTTTTTTAGTATTTTATTATGGCACACAGGAGAGAGTATGGTACAGTATTCTTAACTTTCAGCCAAGTAATCCTCAAATTAACCAGCTGTTTCCATTTTGGCTAAAGTTACTTTTACATGTAGTTTGCGATCCACCTGAAATTTACCATGTACATCATTCCATGCCTAATAAGGATTAATGTGAAAAGCCTGGTTTCTGAGGAGTCTCCTAATCTTTACAGAAGCTGATATACTGAGAGCCTTCATAGTTCAAATCCATATCATCAGGGTAAAGAAATATTTTACCTATTTGCATAGTAACACATATTTAACTAGAAATAGGCAGTACGAAGGGAATCAAATAACTTTACATGGAGACCACTTTGGATTCAAGTTAAATCCGTAACTTAGAAAACCTGTCTAAAAACAAATACGTTATTGAATGAAATGAGCTGACAAAGCAATTGTTTAAGAACAGAAGCAGAATAGCAGACAGTCCATGATTTCATCTATATTCCACATCATACACAAGTGCAAGAGCATTCATAACTTTACAGTGGACAGGGAGGACAGACAGGGTGTGTGTTGGATGTAATGCCCAACCAGTTAAGCTATCGTAGAAATCCAAGTATTTCCCAATAAAGACATGCAGAGCAATGCCAGTGTAACATACAAGTATAGGATCTCCGCCTTTAAGTGACTGATAACAACTTGGCTAGTGTCTGTAGTTTTTAAAAGGTTCTAAAAAGTGTGTCATTCAATGCTGTTTCCTTGAGACAATAGAATGAAGCTAACAACACAGTGAATCATGAGCTCAGGACTTCAGGCAACGTGTTTGCAGCAGGGTAGCAAATAACGCTTGGTAGCTTTTCCTCCAGAAATCATACATCGATTAAAAAAAAGAATTCTTTCTGGTTCTATCACGTGCTCCAGTTTCAGCCTCTGCCCGTGATATTTAGACTGTATTTTAAAATGCAGCAATAGGGATGAATGCGTGAGATTCCTATTCTATCTATGTTGCATTCTTACATATTAGTTTGAAATGGCCTATTTACCATAAAGGGTGTATCTGTCACATCATTTCAGGATTGCTTTCAAAAAAACCACCCTGCAACGGAATATAGTATATTTTATAGGGCAGAGCATATTTTCATTTATAGGCTCTCTGATTTACTCAAGATTATTATCAGTAAAGTTTTTCAGGACGAGATTAAGAATAGCCACAACTTAACTGTATCCTTCAGAATTTCTAATGAAGAAGAAAAAAATATATTGTTATAATTTTGACCTTAAAAAATGGAGATCAATTTTTGGAGGTATTTATGGTTTATATAGATGCCATCTTTAAGGTATTTTCATTAAGTCAACAACCACAGCAAGAAATATTTCATTCAGTGTAACTTTATTGACTATTTATTGCACATAACTCGAAGTCTTTAATTTCTAACCACCAAAGCTTCAAAGGACTATTTTTTCCATGAAGTTTAACATTAACATTAGTGAATTCATTTATTCGTGTTTTTTTTATTGTAAACATCTGAATGATTCACATTGCCATAGATCCTGAACTCATAAGCAAGGACCATGCACAGGCTGGCAGCAAGCCAGAAAGCCGCTCTGCAAGCAAATAGAGACTCTGCAGAGATAATTCATAGCACAACATTGAATGTCCAACCTAAGTCATCTCAGAATTATACATATATTGGCTTTTTAAATTCACAAAGGATCTGGAACTCAACTGGTTGGTTGGTGATGGGGTTGACCTGATTTCGGGAGAATTATTCCTGGAATAATTAAGGAAACGGGGCTCAATCTTTCTTCTTAGTGGCTTGTTCCTCCCCAGCACCTTCTGCTTTTTTCTCCTCCTCTTCTGCTTCTTTGGTTTCTTCCCCTTCTTCTCCTTCACCTCCTTCTTCTTCTTCTTTTGCATCTTCAGATTCTTCCTTGGCAGCTTGAACACAAAAAGAAAATTTACAAAACCCAAGCCCAAGTTAAGTCCAGTTAAAACAATTCTGCAAAGGTTTTATGTGAAAACAGTCGTCAATATTTTTGCCAAAAGCCTCTCGGCTCCATTTGCCAAAGGTACATGTGCAGTTAATACTTGCCATGAATAATTTGCCACTGAGCACATGTTTAAATGAAATGAGATTACTTCTAGGTATGGGAAGCTCTGCTTCTCCCTAAGACCTGACCTCAGTGTTCATGGATTATGTGTTTGGCATCCATTTTTTGTTCGTCGGGCGCCAAACTGCGGTGTTAAATGACTCTCCTAAAATCACGTCGAAATAAAGCCTCCCTAGCACAAGCGAGGCTTCCTGTATCTTATCCACCTCCTAACAAATATCCACACCCAGCATGCACTTAAAGGTACAGCATTTTTTGGTTTGTTTGTTTTTTAACATACCTTCTTCCTCTTCGGCTCCCTCCTCTTCCTCGCCCTCCTCCTTGTCCTTCTCCTCCTCTTCGGCTTCTCCTTCGGAGTGGGGCTCATCCTTGGCTTCCTCGGCTTTCGCGGACTCAATGGTTTCCTCCACCTCAATCTGCTCCTCCTGGACGTGGCTGGTGTAGTAAGATGGGAAGGAGCGGGCGGACATCAGGTAGGAGCTGGTCTGTAAACCGCCGTAAGCAGATCGGCCGAAGACCTGGGAGCTCTGGGAGTAGCCACTGGTGATGCTTCCCACGCTGGTGAAACTGAGCCGGGTCTCCTCACCTTCCAAGAGTTTCCTGGGGAGGAGGGAAGAGAACAAGGTTAAAAAACACCAACAGGAGATATGTTTACTTCACCTGAGACCACCATGCACCCTTTCTCCCTGATGCTACTTTTAAAGGCAAACACCAACAGGGCTGGGAATTATCAAAACTCAGTGACTGGAGATTTTGTGTCAGAGATCGGGAAAATAAAACATGCCTTCAGTAGGTCTATTAGATTTAAAATGCAATGAGAGGTTCACTATTGAACAGGATTCATTATCGTAGGGTTAAAGTCTTATATATTTGCCTAAATATCTTCTTCTTGAAAGACACCAGAGGCTAACACTTCATTATTTCAGCGGACTATTCTTGAAGGTTTCCGATTCAACATAACTTTAAATGGAATCTGATTTTCTTTCTAAGGCATAGTGGCTGCTACATCAGGTCCCTGTTTTCACCTGTAAGCTGCAATCTCAATATCCAAAGCCATCTTCACGTTGAGGAGGTCCTGGTATTCTTTTAGGTATCGTGCCATTTCACTCTTTGTGGTTCTCAGTTCATTTTCTAATTTGTTGATTGTGTCCTGTTGGAAGACAAAAAAAAAAAAAAAATCCAAGCATAAATCCTTCCAGCTATCATTTGACTGTTGTACACTTGCAAAGGCCTAGTTTCACTAAAAATCAAACTGCACACTTTCCACAAATTCTCCTCTAAAACAACTACTTGTTTTCTTTTAAAACCTTTCTTGCTAAAATATCCAGCCTCACGAAACATGAGATGAACAAAAAAGAGGGAAGAAAATTCTGATTTACTTCTATTTATTCACTTAATACAGTCGAATGATCATCATAAAATGCCTACAAGGAAACTAAATTCAGTGATAGAGGAAGTTTGTTTCTCACTCACTGATTAACTCTTCCAGGTCACATGCCAGAAAAATCAATGCATTTCTTTATAAGGGGAGATAGTTAGATTTTTCAACTCTCTAAAATATTTCCAGTGTATCTAAGCTATTTTTTCTATTCTCTTCTCCAAGAAGGAGGTCTTTTAAAAAGAAAGGCTTACTGTGAACATCGCCGGCTAATTAACTAAAACTATTTTTACTGCACGTCTGTGTGTCTGCAAAGAGAGAGCGGTTAGTAAAACTAACTAAGCATGCTGGTCACAGGCATCCTTCAGAACTGATGGAGAGCTATTCACTATGCTATTCACCACCTCACCCAGATGATCCAATGGGTAGTTGCTAGAAAGCAACCTGCGGTTAAGGCAGGCCAGTAGAAACCGGCTGTGACCGCAGGCCCGAGGCAACGCCCAACTCCCACTTCTTCCCCTCCCCCACCCGGGCAGGGCTGGGCAGCTTGAATGCGGAAGGCAGAAGAACCGGCACCAAGCACACCCCCCAGACTGCAGTGGCGCCCTGACCCCCGCCCTCCAAGCGCCCCATCCCCCCCACACGGCCCCGAGGAGCAAGCCCTAGCCCTAACAGCTGCAGGCCGCAGCCGCACTGTCCC